AATATTTTTTCAAATAGATTCTGAATCCCTTGCGCTCTCTCTTCTCCTGGTACCTCTATAATACAAATGTTATTACACTTTATATCGTCCCAAAGGCCCTTAAACTATCATCATTTTTTAAGATTATTTTTTCTCATTGCTGTTCTGATTGATTCTGCTACCTTATCTTCCATATCACTGATTTGATTCTCTACTTCATTTGATCTACTATTGAGTCCCTCTAATGTATTCATTATTTCATTTATTGTATTCTTCATTTATGACTGGTTCTTTTTTGTTCTCTACATCTTTGTTTTCTCTCTCTTTTGAAGTTCTTACTGAGATCATTGAGTATTCTTGTAACCAGTGTTTTGAAATCTGCATGTGATAGTTTGCTTGTCTCCGTTTTGTTTAGTTCTTCTTCTGGAGCTTTGTTTTGTTCTTTCATTTGAGACATGTTTCTTTGTCTCCCCATTGTGACTGACTCCCTGTGTTTGTTTCTAATTTTTAAGTGAGCTGCTATGTCTTGCTGTCTTAGTAGTATGGCCTATGTAGTAGATGTCCTGTGAGGCCCAGTAGTGCAGTCTCCCTAGCCACCTGAACTGGGTGCTCCAGATGTTTCCCTTGTGTGGGTTATGTGTGTTGTCCTCTTGTTGTTGAGCCTTGGTTGCTGTTGGCACATCAGTTGTAGGGATTGATCCTCAGGCTGATTGGTTGTGAGGACTGGCTGTGGTTACAGTGGAGAAGCTGGTGTGCAGAGTTTGACACGAGAAACAGAATTTATTTGACTGGAGCTCTGGTGCCTAATTAGTCTACCCTTTGGGTGTGCCATTTGTGGAAGTGGTTGAGTGGTGCTCTGGTGTGGTCTGAAGCTGGCCACCTGGTGTGTTGGTTCTGGGGCCTCTTGGGAGGGGCTCTGTTGCAGACCAAGATCACCCACTGCCTGTGCCCTTCCTGGGGCCACTTGGTATAAACTACAGCGTGTTTTTCAGATGGATGCCACTTGTGCTAAGATTGGAGGTACCTGACAGAGGCTATTTGTGAACCAAAGCCAGCTGTCACTAGGTCTGGGCATGGGGCCATTTAGTAAGAGATACTAGGCACACTGAAAGCATATGTTCCTTGTTTGGTGTTTGTGAACTTTAAGAGATCTTAGAAAAGTCTGCAACATGAACCAAGACAGGCCGTTTTTATGGAAAAGCCACTGGAAGTTGCTTGGTTACGCCTGCAAGTTGTGTGGGGTGGGGTCTTAGGGAATCACCAGAGTGAAGTGAACATTATTAGTCAGGCTGAGGGAGACTCAGATATGGCATCTGCCTGCATCTGCACATAGGGTAAGAGGAGGGTTCAACAGTGGAACAGTGGCTTCTGCCAACACTTCTGTCTAGGAGAAAGCTACCCCTCCAGCCCTTGCCCTGAAGCCAGATAGCTCAGTTCTTCCCTATATGTTTCTGGTAACTTTTGAGCTCCTGCCTCTGTCCTGGAGCAGGTGAGCCTGAGTTAAGTCTATGTTAGGGCCCTTTAAGAGGAAGGCCAGGGATTCCAGCAGCCCTTTGTCTGACACAGCTACAATCTCTGCTTGTTTTCACACTCAGCAGTTATGAGAACTTCTCTTCTAAGCAATTGAATCCTGGGCTGGGGAGGCTTGTGTACATCTGGGACCCCTCACTCATCAGGGGGCACCTCTGCAGCCAAGATATCCCTCTCAATTTTCAACTGCCACATGTAGGTGAGGGACCAGCCCATTCACCATCTCATCCCCTCCTTCCAGTCTCATAGTGGCTTTTGCTGTGCATCGTTTGTTATACGACTTATGCTTAGCTAGATGTCAGGTGATTCTCAATGATGGTTGTTCTGAAGTTATAATTTTTAGGTGGTCATAAGAGGGGGCAAACACAGTGTTTACCTACTCCACCATCTTGACTGGAAGCCTTGAAACAAGTGTTTTTTAAAATGCATCATCTTCAAGTATTTCCTTTAGTATGTTTTTAGAGCACACAAACTGATATTTTTGAAAGCTCACACTGTGCACAGCATTGTGTGTCCCCTGGAATTCACAGGCTGTTGCCTGCTCTATCCCTATACAGACTCAACTCAGACAGATCCTGTGAGCCTCTATACCTATATTTTTTTAAATGAGTTAGACATGAGAAAACTAGGCAAATATGTCAGGAGAACAAGTTGGAACCAGAAGTTAGCTTGTGCATAAATTTCAAAACGTAGAGTCATACAGTTCTGGCTATGAGCCTTCTAGAGGTCATATGAGAAAGAGAAACATGATCAATTACAAGACTAATTGTTCATAAATTAAAACAGATCAGTGTTAAATGAGCATGATTTATCAGAGAAGTAAGAAGCAGTAAGACTCAGTAGAGTGGTCATTGTGTTGGAGGAACATTTACAACTTCCCAGAGAAGAGGAAGTATCTGAATTTCATAAATTAGTATTCATATGACAGGTCCACAGATTTTCTTTTAGAAAGCACTGAACTAAAACAAGAGTCCTGATATTCTTTCTCACCCTTCATTTAGGCTGGCTATTGGTTGAGAAGGCATAAATCTCAAACTGTCCAGCAGGATTCTTAGTGGTGGTCTTATTCCTATGGGTCCCTTTCTACTGAAAACTTAACTGTAGAACTCAAAGAGGGAAGAAGACTTGTATAAAATCTGTTATTAATGAAAGTTCCTTAGGCATTGTTTATTTTGCTTTTAGTTCTATTAAGATAATTGAAGCTAGAACTTTAAGTCAAAGAAACTTTGTAATACATTGGAAGGTTGTTACAGTGTTAGTCTTGGGAGCCTCTACCCTAAGACTATAGGTGCAGAAGCAATACTACATCAAATGTCGGCCAAACCATAGCCAAGTGTGGAGGAGTACAAAGATAGGGCATTCTACCCGTTACACCAGTGGAATTTTTTAGGATTCTGTTTTCCTCCTTGGGTGTGATGTTGATTTGAATTCAAAAGTTTCTCACTCCCACGTGGACTGAGAATCTGAAACAAATACTTTCTCCATTAAAAAAAAAAAATATCCTACATGGACCTTGTTTGGTTTCTGTAATAGATGAAGGAGTATTGTGCTTTACTAGTGTAATCTAATAAATCCTACCTCCTTTTAAATGATAAATAAAATGATAATTATACCTATCGTAAGAGCTAGTATTCATTGAGCAATTGCTATATGCCGGTCACTGTGCTAAGCATTGTACCTGCTTTATCAATCCCTCATTGAGTTAGGTGCTTTTCTCTTATCCATTTTATTAATGAAGAAATTGAGGCATACAGAAATTAACAACTTGCCCAAGGTCACAAGGTTAGGAAGGAATCAATAAAAACCAGAACTCAACTCTTGGTCTGACTTCAAATGATGTATAAATTTCATAACCATGTTATATTTTGAGCCTGTCTCATTTTCGAGTAACAGATGAAATTTCTAAGTGAATAGGCTTGCTATTGAAATAAAGGGGAAAAATATCATGGGGGTATCTGAAACTTATGAAAATATTAATTTAATGGGCTGGTTTTGACATACCTATCGAAAGAATACTTTTTCCTGAAGTCAAGAAGTAAGGCATGAAAAAGATAGACTATTTGGCTATTCCTACATAAGAAAGTATTTCTAAGCCCTTTGAATTATTGGATTTGTTCATTCTTGAATAACTTTTTTTATACACAGAAGGAATATATGTACACAGTTCAAGAGTAGTGAGGTTTTGTATGGAATTTTATTCTAATTACTGCAGAATTCTCTTCCTATTGGTGCCATTTAGATGAAATGGCTTTCAGGGTTGAACAATATCTTCTGTAGGGTTGATCTTGCATCACTGGTACATGAATTAAACTTTAAAAAAAATTTAATATTTAAAATTTTTATCTCAATAAGTATTTGAAAAAATAAATTAGCACACCAACCCTGTTTTTACAAATATTATTGCTTAGATAAAGCTAGATTGCTTTTTTAAAAAGGAGGGAATGAATTTAAAGCCCAAACTCTAAAAAGTTAAATATTACAGGAAGCACACAGATAAAGGAACAATTGTGAAGTTGATGCATGAAGGCTTGAAGTTTGGAATTACTTGCTAGCATTTAGTTCCTTTTAATCACTACTAGCTCATAATAAGCATGAGGCTTTTCTTCTGTAGACTGGATAAGTAACTTGGAGGAATAATAGGAGAGGATTAAGTTTAGAATAAATTGTGGTGCCTTTTTATTTCTCGTTGTGTTAGGTGATAGAACTTCTAGTGTATTTTTTTTTCCATTTCTCCTATGAATGTATTTTTTTTCATATCTCCCATGAATTTTTTTTTTTTTAATTCCATGAATAGCATTTTCCTTACTTGCAGGTGACAATGTGCATTCAGTGTACAATGTTTCCTTAGCTTTCTCCCTCTTTAACATTTCATTTTCCAGGTCTTTTGTGGAACATAAACACTCCTTGTGTCTATTTCTTTTCCCTCAATCCTTAGTTTGTTTTTTCTTATAGTCAATGTTGCAGGGCTGGGAAGCAGATAAAACAGTCTTGCTTAAGTCAAATAAGATGTTTAAAAATAAAAGATACTATAATCTATAATTAAATAATACCCAAGAGTCAAAGTAATTTCCCTTTTCATAATAGCTGCCTTACTCAAACGAGAGCTCTCAAGTATGAAGTGTGCTATCAGAAATGTACCCACTTATTCAGTTTTTCTTTCAGATTCAAAATGACATGAAAATTGGAATCACCATAGTTTTCTAATATCACATTTGGAATAATTTTATATGTTTATACTTTTTCTTTGTCTTCTGGTATTGTCTTTCATCTCAAATCTTATCAGTAATTAATTTTAAAAAGGTTATGGTTTTCTTAATTTGTATGTTTTACTGTATATCTTGCATTTCATGTTTATGATGACATTGTTTTCATTGGTAACTGCTTTGTATTTTAAAAAATGAACCTAGAACTCCTCATTTCATATTGAAAATGCAGCAAACAAAATGAAGCATGAGAGAGAATTAAAATAATGTGTCTTCCCTTCTTTTTAGATGGCAAGGTTGAAGTCACAAAAGAAGGTGTGAAGCTGTGCACCATGGGTCCGGGGAAAGTGTTCGGGGAGTTGGCTATTCTCTACAATTGTACTCGGACAGCGACCGTCAAGAGTAAGACTGTTTTATTTTTTCGGATACCTTCAATGTCTGTTTTTTTGCCCTAGATCTGTGAGATGTTCATTAACATGACTCTTGATTTAATCTTTGTAATTTTATTTATATTTTAATTTTTGCTTTGCAATATAGTTGACATATGTATTTTCCTACTAAAGGATGATGGTTAATAGTCAGTTTTGCATAACTTAAATTTTATTGCTGACTTATGAAAAGTATCCTTTTAACCTAAAATTCTTATAAATTAGGATTTATAAAATAATATTATTTTATAAATTAGAATTAAACAGGAACAAGACCTTTCTTTTTCTGCTTTTAAAACCTCAGGATCATATTTAAGAAATTTTTACATATCTGGTATTTTGGGTTATATCCCCTGCTTAAATTTCATTCAGTGGTTTAGAAAAATTAAGAGGAGAAATGTTTTTCATCTCATTCAAACATCAAGTGAGATATATCCTGAATTCTAAAACTGTGTCTGAGTATATTCTTGTCTTCAGCTGCTCATCAAGCTGTATATTATAACATTTTTCTTTTCTACTGATTGAGCTTATTTTAAATCAGGGCAATAAAGCAGCTTGTTTCCCTAACTTTACATGTATGTGTATATATGACTTCTCTAGCAACTTTTATTGCTTGGTATAAGCAGCTGCAATACTTAGAGGGGAAAATTTTTTTTTGTTTTAAATTATCTGTCCTAACTCCAGGATGTGATGAGTGTATAACAAACACAGCTGAATGAATGCAAAAGACAACAATGCAAGGTCCATTGCATCTTTAGGCAGAGATGTATCTCATGTCTGAAAAGCTCTTCTGATATGTTATCCTGCGGATGATTGCTGTCACAAGTTACTATGATGAGATCGTGTCATTTAAAAAAAAAAATACCATTGGCAAATGACATTGTTAATATCAATTAGTAATATCCAGATAACTAATTTGTGTATTAGTATTTTCTCTCAGAAGTACGGAAATGATTGACAATATGATGTTGAAACTTGGATTGTACAGAACTTAAGAATACATGGCTAGCTAGATTCCCAGAAATAGTTTTATATGTCTTGTTAGTGAATCACCTTTTAATTCATTGAAATCATTGTGACATCAGTTGCAGTTGGGGCCCTTATGAGTCCTTGTTCGCACTTGATTCTTAATCTCTGAAAGCATAGAACTCCTTTGTTTGATAGGAACTAGCATGTTTTTATTTCATGTGATCATTTAATTACATGACTCAAAGAATAATGAATCCCAATGAACCATAACAGATTCTGCCAGAACTTTAACTCACATGAAAAGTGCCTTAACTAGAAAGTAGTCATGACTTCATTAAGTGAACAGATGTTACTATCATGCTTCGTTTTCATGAAAAATATATTCCCTTTGGGGCAAAAAAGAACCAGAATAGAATATTTTGATTGAACAGGCTTTCTTAGGATTATGAATAGTAATTTCTTTAAGTTTTAAAATATTTAAATTTTAAACATATTTCAGCCTCGTATACAGCTTGTTTAATATAACTGAAACTACAAAATTTCCAAAGGTCAACAGTTGGTTAATTATAAAGGTAAACACAGTGCTTAATCTTTTGAAATACTGAATTATTGTTAAAGAAACATTTTAAATAGACTAAATAGTGTGTTTAAATAATTTTTACAGCAAAAAATTTTTATAAGATTATTGTTTTGCTTCATAAAAATCAACTGTCTTATTAAGTTTCTTCAAAATGGTGTTAGCCACTATTGTACTCATGTTTGGTCAATTCCAATAGACGTAAGGTATCTGACTCAGCAAGAAGAAGCTGGGTGTTGAATGCAATTTATAATTCTAACTATTTGGGGAGTCAGAACATCCATCATTGATGGAAATGATTGATGGAGTGTATTCTTTAACACAGAGTCAGATATTTCAGGTGATCTTGTTCCTACTTAAGATATGGAAGTTGTATTTTGAAAAGAGCCTAGGGTTGATGATGTGCAAATATATTCATGTATTTATAGGTGATGAGATTTTGTGCATGAGTAAGGAATATGATCTATTAACAACTGTTCCTTTTGAATGTTGTGTAAGAACTATAAGGTGTGAAAAATGATTATGCATTGTTCAGGATCTTTATTGTTCTGTCTTCTGTACTATCCAGGAAGATTGTACTTATGACAGTAGTCCTTAAATACCATTTGAAATTTATGATTAAATTATACCCTCAGGCTGATCACTTTATAATTCTGATTAGATTCCATTGTGAGTGCTACTTTTACCTAATGACCATAGTAAATTCTCTCATACTCTCCACATATGATATTTTAAAATGCCCTTATTTGGGCTTTTAAATCCAGTTATTTCTCAGGATTCATATTTTGTGTCAACTCTTTTCCATTTCTTCTTATCATTTTTTCCAGTGATGACCATTTGGATTAACTTTCAAAATGGATTTATCCACTTGAGTATAATAGTCTGAATTTGAGAGGACTGCCCTTCCTACTCAACAGCTTATTTATTCATGTTTGTTTTTCTCTCATTTACCTGGGATTGTGATTCCCTTTCACCCAGCGTCACCCACTTTCTTTCATGATTGAAAATGTTAATGATTCCCTTCTTCTTTCGTTCTCCCGAGGTCAGACTGAAAGCTGTCTAGCATTTCAATGCATTTTTTATCTCATAATCATAACTAAATCCTAGGTGACTTTCAAGAGCTCTTCAATGAAAATTATTCATTTTTTTGTTCAAGAGGGCACTTTTTTGAAATTATATCAGGCCATGAATAAATTCCAGTGACTTCCTCTACTAACGAATGTGATCCTAATACTTGTGGGTTTTCTTTACCTTAGAATATAAAAGAAAATTTTATTGCAATGTAGGTGACATATAACATTATATTCATGGCCAGTTAACATCCATCACCATACAGAGTTACAAAAATTTTTTTCATGGAATGAGAACTTTTAAGATCCACTCTTTTAGCAATTTTCAAATATGCAATAGAATACTATTAACTATAGTTGTCATGCTGTGCAATATATCCCCAGGACTTATTTATTTTATAACTAGAAGTTTGTACCTTTTGATCTGCTTCAATTATTTCACCCAGTCACCCCCACCTCTGCTAATTACCAATCTGTTCTCTATATCTATGAGCTTGAGTACTTTCTTTTTTTTAGATTCCACATTTAAGTGAGACCATATAATATCTCTACCAGACATTTCATGTAACATACTGCCCTTAAGGTCCATCTGTGTTTTCACAAATGGCAAGATTTCTTTTCTTTTTAATGGATGCTTAGTATTTATAGTGATATGTAAAGAAAACATCCATGGTATGATGCAGATCTTTATTCATAGTCTAATCGTATTTTATAAAACACCGTAGATTTTTCCCTAAGGAATGAGGGTATAAAAATATGTAAAATTAACATGATAATGGAAATAAAAACCTAACAAATGTCTTGAGGTTATTCATGGTTTTCTTTTAACTGTGTTATGAAAATAGCCACTTTGATTGTGTCTATCCAATCACAAACACTCCAGCTGCCATAGGGAGGGAAAAAAATCAGTTGTTACATTAGATTTTCACAACACTAAACAATTAATGTCTCCAATGTTGTTTGAATTTAACATTTTGTCTAATTTAGGATTCTCTAGACAACAGAGAGTATTACCATCCATTTGCAAACCCCATAAGGTATAAGAATTCCTATTATATCCATTGAATACCCTTTGCTTACTCAATTCCCTTACCTGGAAGCATATCATTTTCATGTTTTCTGAAAGTGTCACTCTTGGCTGTGATTTCACTTTCACTACCCTCACAGCTAAATCCATATCAATTTACACTCACCCTGGGACTCTTACCTTGCGTCTGTGCCCAAGGTTCTTTAAAATCATAAAAATGGAAAAGTCAAAGTTACTGGAAACCTCAAAATAGAAAGGAAAAGACATTTGATTTACAATGAGAGAGAGATTCAGTGACACATACCCCGTGTGTGAATTTGCAGGGACATTTATGCTATTGTCTCATTTTAACTTGGTTTCCCACAACCAATTTTCACAACTACATAGGAATTTTTTTTGAGGGTTGAATCACATGATTCTTTGCTCTAACTTCACTTATGCATAAGTTGGTATTTTTGCCCGAAGATACTAAACTGAAGCCGTTTCCTCTTACTTTGAATTTTCAGCTCACAATGCTCCAAACCTTAGCTAGTATATTATTCTAAGAGTTCCATTCAAATAGACTTTAATTTTAAAAAAGAATAAAAGATCTCTCTCTCTGTAGGAAACTATCTCCATACCAGGTTAAGATGATCACCATAGAAATTATCTGCAAAAGTTTGTCTATGGTGGATGTGAATTGACTTGGGCAAAATATCCGAGTAATTATTTCTGCTTAGATTATTTATAGTAAGTATTTTAAAATCCCAAAGTATTAAAATACTTCAGTACTAACGCAAAAAAAGCTTACATAACCTACAAGAAATCTGACTTTAATAACATTTGGTAAAAATATTTTTCTGACTTAGTTTGAATACTTTCAAGTTTCCATAGATAGGCTTTCCTAAGATATTTGCATAGAGGGAAGTTGACTAATTACAGAATTTTAATGTACCATAGACATTTTAAGAACAAAGTCAAAAGGGTTTGATTTTTTTCTGTTTATTTTTGTTTTTAAAATAAATTTGAGTCTGTGCAATGGGATGGCTTATACATTTCCTTGAAGCTCTGTTTCAAACATTGCATTATTCAACTTGGCTCAAAAATTTACCAACTGTCAAAACCTAAAAAGATAAATGAGAAAAAAAGGAGTTTTGACTAAAATTTCTTGCTCAAATACCTCTATATGCTGTAAATGTAATACCTGTACCAAAGTCAACATACAGTGCTTTTTACTGGTAAAGGAATAAAAGAAATGAATGCCACTTCATAACTTATATAAATATCTAGTCATTGCACTATATACCTGAAACTAATATAAAATAATAATTTTTAAAAAACTTAAATAGATT